TCGTGCCATTAAACAAATTAGGATCAATTGTTACCCAATAGCTTGACCAAATAGGTCATTGCCTCAAACAATTTAAATAATATTTCTTCCATAACCAAAGAGAGATTTTTTTTGGTTAAACTCCGAATATGGTCTCTTAATTATTGTATGAATTTTAAATTTAGTTTTTAAATTAAAAATTTTTTTGATTTGATCCCTACTATTTAACATTTTAGCCTCGAGTTAGTCCTTTATTAATATGACATATGGTTATTAAATAACAATTTTGTGTCGTTAAGTAATAAACAAATCAATTATTTTTTTATAAAATGATCAACTTGAGTCAAATTAATAAACAATAAGGACTAAATTATGAATTTTTTTAATTTAAGAACCAAATTAAAAATCCGTATAATAGTTGAGAGATTAAATTGGGGGTTTAACCTTTTTTTTTTTTCCCTAAAGAATGGTCTGAACTCTGGTTCACCCCATGGTGCTGCCTTTCAAATTTAAACCCAAAAGGCAGACCAACGTCTCTTTCTCCTTCAGCATTATTATTATAGAGTGGTCATCTGTGTCATCATCGCATTTCTGGCATATAGCATTACCAAAGAGAAGAAGTCATCAACAGCTATATCATTATAATTTGTTATTCCATTTCAAAATAGATCCCATGCAGTGAATGAATGTTACAAAGGTAACTGAAAAATATACATTAAGAAAAAAGGTCTAGACCCTTATCGGTCGCCACACAGGTACTGGTGTCCCGTAGAAGGGCCTCCTAATAGGAACATAAAGTAGTTTACATCAAGCCAATGTGAAATGGCCGTTTATTCTCTAATGGTGACAGCTCAATGATCATCAGCTTTAAAATGAAAATTAAAGAAAATAAACCTAAGTTGGGAATAATAGTCAAGTTAATAATGGAGGAAAAAATGATGACAGGTTAGCGTCTCTTATTTTGTCGTCTCTGGAGATCCATATCCATAGGGGTTCTTGCTGGCCCAGTTCCATTGATCCCTACACATCTCCTCAATGCCATATTTTGCCCTGCAAATGTGGAAATTATGTAAATTATCAATTTCATAACCATATGACACCAATAGATGGCAACAATACTGAAACTGCAAAATTGCCATTTAGAATGCAGATTTGCATGTATGTCTGCACTTACTTCCAATTCAATTCACGCGCTGCCTTCTCTGTTGAAGCGTAGACAATTTCAGCATCACCAGGTCTCCTCCCAGCCATTACGAGGGGAATTTCCTGATAAGTAAGAAATGATTTCAAGTTCAATTAAAGGACCAATAACTAAACATGGTTTGGGAATTGATTATCTGACTAAACAGAAAATAGACTCCAGTGACTCTGCAGTGCAATTCACAGTTATATATACCTTTCCAGATGCCTTTTCAAATGCTGCAACCATTTCCAAAACTGATGTTCCTTTCCCTGTTCCTAAGTTATACACCTCACAACCTGCAGAATCATTAATGTAGTAAGGACCAAACGAGGGGAATTCAAATCCAACGGGAATTATATGGGGCAAAGAAATGGAGATGGCTCAGATTTCAGAGTAAAGTCATGAACAGACATTTTCCCAAGATATCCTTTGGTACTTGAAAAAGCGCACAAATATATCTGGTAACTATATGCAGGTTCTATATGCACATTGGTTTGCCAAGTACACCCACTTAAGTGTAGTTGGCCATTTCCATAATATGAAAAGGGAAATTGAATTTAATCTTAAAAGAATAATAGTAAAAGAACAACAATATACCTATTTTTGGGTCAGATAATTTACACAGTGCAGCTATGTGCCCATCTGCCAAGTCAACAACGTGGATGTAATCACGCACCTGAAATGCATAAGCAATCAATTCATCGTCACAAACCCACAATGCCATGGATGGAGACTTGAAAAATGAGGAAATGGACAAATCAAAACATTAAAAACCATTTCTTTGCTATTGTAGATAGGAGGTTTAAAGTCTGCAGTAGATTTTAAACTTCAAATTCACATCGTTGTCCATCAAAAAAAAAAAAAACACACACACACACACATTGTTGTACAATAACAATTCTAGAAAACACCAGAAAAATGTCTTAAAAATGGTTAATGATGAATTGATATTCTTTAACTTTAAATGGAAACAGGGGAGGAAAACTACCAAAATTTTAAGCCAAAGCTAAGAAAAGATTGCATGTAATTGCACTGGGTTATATTTCAAAAGTATTTTATCATATATTGTGATATATGGATTGAGACTTACCCCGGTACCATCTTTTGTTGAATAATCATTTCCAAATACAGTCAAGGCTGGGCGCCTACCAACAGCCACTTGTTGTACAAAAGGCATCAGATTGTTTGGAATTCCACGGGGATCCTCACCAATATGGCCACTGGGATGTGCACCAACAGGATTAAAGTATCTTAGTAGTATAATCTTCCATTCAGAATCTGAGCGGTGGATATCACGACATATTTCTTCAATGAACAGCTGATGATCACAAAGAAAATGCCACATTGGTGTTTAGTTAATGCTCAAGTTCAATTATAGGGATCCATAAACAGAAGTAGAATGTATAGAATAAATAAAACTGGTTTTTCCTACATCACTTTCACTACTAGTTTGCAGCGTTACTAACTGACATAAAGTTAACATGTATTAAATATATACCTTGGTCCGTCCATATGGATTAGCTGCAGATAGAGGAAACTCTTCTGTACAAGGGACCTCTTTTGGCCAACCATAGACCGTGGCAGATGATGAAAAGACAAGCTGTAATGAATCAAATTAGACACTTTAATTTGTTAAATTATTGATAAATAATATTAACCAAAACCATCTAAAAGTTAGAATAAATAAATAAAAATGCTGTATGAACAGAATTAAGAACACAATTACAAATGCTGTACTATTGAAATTATCACATAGAAGAGAAAAAGGGGCAAAAATGGGACATACATTTTTGCATCCATGAGCAGCCATAACTTCCAACAGGGTAATTGTTCCAATCAAATTGTTGTTATAATACAGCAAAGGTTTCTGTACACTTTCCCCAACTGCTTTAAGTCCAGCAAAGTGTATTACAGCATCAAACCTGCATCATAAAGAGGAAATGACACTAGAAGTTAAGTAAGAGGAAAAGACAAAAAGAAAAGTAATCCAAATGTTTTTCTTTTTTCTCTGTTTTTAGTAAGGCAATCAAATGTTGACTTCTAAGCTTATACATATGGCATATGGCTACAAACACACACACACACACATATATATATATATAGAAAAAAGGAAAAACATACATAAATACATACAGGCAAACAAATTTGATTAGATTATGTAACAAAGATTTATGATTAATAAGCTGAGAAATTACTTTGTTTCAGCAAAAATTTTTTCAAGAGCTGCTTTGTCACGAAGATCCACCTGCAAGTGAAAGCAGAAATTAAAGGATCAGTACTATAATCATAAAATCAAACCTGTTAACAAATCTTTGGTACACACATAATAATATGCTTTTGATGTAGTGATATTTTTGAGTCACTGACATGTGGGGTTGTTTTGATTATTAAAAACTGATATATAAGACAAAAAAAATCCAACAAATCATGGGTATACACATAATATTGGTTACTACTATAATGGAATAATATCTTCAAGGAAGGAACTAAGGTGCATGACTTTGATTATTTAAAAAGAAATAGGACAAAATCAATCCAACATAATCTATAGAAAGTCAAACCAGAAGTCTTTTTTTTTTTTGGAAAATAAAAAAAAAAACTAAATAATAATCAGATAAAGAAAATAAAACCATAAAATAAAATCAAAGGGAAGAAGGTTTATTATTTTACTCAATAAAATAACCGATTCATGTTCAATCACATGAAAACACTAATAATTCATTCAGTCTGTTAACTTCATCCAGAAAGACTGACCTTTCACGTGCATCTACGGCATCAAGGACTAAAAGCTTTCAACTTTAACGCCAAAAAAGAAAAAAAAAAGGCAATTATAGATTACCATCCCCCTACTCAAGTCGCTGCATACTTTTATACGTTCACGAAAAGTTAAGAGTAATTTGCTTATTTTTCAAGATCATTTTTTTTTTTTGCCCTTTTTCCCCTTTTCGGTAGAACCAAGCTAAAAGTTTTTCTTAGACTTTGAGGAAACTACGTCCATGAGAATTAAACACTTGCTTCAGCAATTTGCTTATAAATCAAGATTAAAACCTTTTTATTTTATTTGTGGCTGAATCGATATGAAAATCAAAGAATTCAATCAGTTAATCGCCGAATTTACCCCTTCCCCAGAAAAAACTAAACAAAATTCTGAAATACTGAATGAAACCTTCAAACTTTCAGAAAAAAAGGACCAAACAGAGATTTTTAGCCAAAGCAATCAGGCTTTTCACTTTTTGAAATTTCAAAACAAATTAAACTTCGAATCAACTACAGGCTCAAAATCCTGTTAATAACATAAAATTGCAAAACAGAGCAGTAAAGTTACAAAAATTCAGCAAACCTGGTGAAAGGAAAGGTTATTGCCAAATTCGCCGGCAAGTTCTTCAACTCTTTTGAGGGCGACATCCGAAGAGTTATCCAGATTATCAACCACCACCGTCCTGTAACCTCCCCTCAGCAACTGCAGCACGGTGTGGCTGCCGATATAGCCAGCACCGCCGGTCACCAGAATATTCTTCGCCATGATCTCGGTCAAATTACAGCAAAAACAGAAACAGAAAAAGCGTTTTCGAAGGAAAATTCTTAAACAAACTCTCGAACAAAGATGGAGAAAAAAGGAGGCTGATTTATGGTTTTATATAGGGGAGGACGAGAATTAATTAATTTTAAAAAAAAAATTAAAGATTTTGTTTACGTTTTTGGAGAGGTGGAAATGGAGGAAAGCGCGGAACGGTCTGCCACGTGGCGATGTGAGAATAATCCGTTAGCATAGATTTTGCCGAATCGAGATTACGTGGCAGTTTAGGTTTTTTTTTGTATGGACCAAACTAACCTTTCTGTTGTACGTTGTTTGTCATTGTTTTAATGAGAGAATGTCTGAGGCGTTTCCTGTCTTTTTCTAATTTGACGCGTATTGTCAAATAAAGGAAAATTTTGAGACAACTGTTGACTCTTTTGTATGGTCGGTTAAAGTAGAGTAATTTAGTAATAAT